GTCACATAATAAGTGCTAAATAGTATTTTAAATTTTTCGCTAATTCGTGATCATGACTTATTTTGCATATTTCAGGGTCAAGTAATTCGATGCATTCCATCAATAGCAGAATTTCTTCCCAACTGGTTTCTCTCAAGACGACTTATTCCATCATTTGATTGTCTTTCATTATATGTCAACGGCAACGTTTCGGTAACTAATTTATATATATATATATATATACTTCATAAGTTTAAAAGGGTCAATTATATAAATTTAAAAATTTTTTCACAAAGTTTCAAGAATGTTAGATTTAAATTTGAAATTATATACACAAAATACTTGTATTTAAACTAATATATCTATATGAAATATTTATTTATAATTCTTCAGTCATTACAATGAAGCTCAACTGCAACTTAAAATCATGCAATTTGAGTTAACTTGACTACAATATGCAAATGCAAACCTTTACTAATTCGATTTATATGAAATAATATCTGTGATACTAGCCTCATTTTTAAAATAACAATGATAAGAGATATCATTTTACGATATATTTTTTTTATAGAAAAATTATCGCTTAATATATGTTTTAAAATTAGTGATGCAATAAGGCATTAATTTTAATATGAATGTTATTTGGTCCCTATGTGAATTTGCACATATTCACTTTTGAGTAAAATTAAATTAAGATTTGATCACACAAAAATCAAAATAATGCTTGGTTATTAAGTAACTACATTGGAAATTGTATCTGTATTATTTTAGGAAGCAAAAATATTTGTATTACATTCTGTAATCTCATTAGTATCTGATTACGTACAAATTTTAATAAGATAAAAATTTAGTTATTTTTAAAGAGACAGTTGGATTTTTTGACTTGTATTGGAGCACTATCGGATCGTTGCGATTCATCTTTATTGAATATGCTGATAGCGACTATTTCAGTATGCAATGTACAACACCACGCTGTATTACACGCAAAATCACGTAACAACAAGCTTCAATTTGTTTATTTTGTCCATTCTTGGAAAAGACATTACTAAATGATTTAATAAAGAGGCGAACTACAATTATCAAGCAAAGATTTATTTTTATGCAAGTCGTCAGACAAGCTAACTAATTTGCTGCTGATATTTAAGTTACAGACTATGAGATGACTTTTTGAAGCCCATCATTATAAATAATTATCAAATGTTGGTACAAACTAACTGAAATTTTGTATATTCTTGAGGTCTGGTGCAACGGATATTAACGTGCAATGCTGCAAGGTTACGTGATCGTGGTGTTATTTGTACATATCTGTTAAATCCATTAACACTTGGACTGGCATCAAATGATCTCAATATTGCACAGTTTGAAGATTTAATCAATACTGTGCGGATTTTAATTGATATCATAGAATACCTGAGAAAGAATGGATCAAGTACAGATTGTTGCCATAGAAGTTCCCTTATGAAGCCCAGGTATATTACTAGTACAGAAATATTGCCAGCTATTTTTAAGGAAAGATTTAAAATTTAATAAACAATTTTTTCAGATGAAAACGCAAAAAAGTTATAAAAATACATGGTTTTATAACAAGAAATTTTTGGTGTAATCAATTACTTATTAAAGTTTTCTAAAATTTAAGTATTTTGAAAAACTTTTACTTCGAATTTTCGAGCAAAGTATTTTATTTTTATCCTTAAATATTATGAAAAGGCCTTTTTTTTCTGAACATAGCAAACTTGAGTTAAAATCGAATGTTAATATTTTTAGGAAGCTTAGCAGTAGGCGAGTAAGTATGAGTAGTAGCCATTTACCGCTGGTCATGATTACTAGTGCAAGGTCTTCATCTTCAGACTTTGAGTATGATTCGAGGTAATCTTTTTTGCATCTTTATAAATTTAAAGTAAAGAATAAACAAATAAATAAGTAAATAAATAATT